ATGACCTCTTGTCTGCACCACTTCAAGGTTTGTCAATGGAGGTCCTTGAGAGCATCTTTATGAAAGGGCTCAAGCTGGAGGTAAGAGCTGAATTGCAATTGATGAGACGGGAAGGACTAGGCCAAATGATGGACCTGATCTAGCTGATTGAAGACAAAATACGGTGCTTAAAGGGCCAGAAAGAGTTATTTCGAAAAAAAGGGCCATGAGGAGAATGAGTTAATACCAATCCATATGCAAGTCTATGGGAAAAATATAGGAGATCTCATGCACAACTCGTGATCCTGGGAGAGCAACCTTTAACTAAAGAAACTCCAAGCAGAAGATTATTAGAATCGGAGTGGTTGAGGGGAAGAAATAAGAGATTATGTTTTAAGCGTGATGAAAAGTACACCCAGGGACACCGTTGCAAGAACTGTGAGCTTCGGATGCTACTAGTCTTTGATGACGAAGACAATGGCAGTGAAGGGCAACTAGGCGCCACATAGGCCGAGGAGTCGGTAGTGGAAAGTAATGTGATCATTGAGTTATCCTTAAATTCAGTGCTAGCGCTCTCTATGTTGAGGACTATGAAGCTCAATGGCATCATCAACGATACCCAAGTTACCATGCTCATTGACTGTGATGCAACCAATAATTTCATTGGGTTAGATTTGGTGGAGACCTTGAAGATAATACTAATAAACACCACTAGTTATGGGGTGGTAATGGGCACTAGGGTGGCGAAGGGAGGTGAATATGCTGTGAAGTAGTAATGGCAATGTAAGGATTGATGGTGGTACATGATTTCCTTCCTCTTGATTTGAGAAGCATGGATGTGGTGCTAGGAATATAATGGCTGGGTACATTGAGCAGCATAGGGGTCAAGTGGAACCAGCTACTAAAGAATTTTAAGCTAGGGAAGCACCATGTGGTGTTACAGGGGGATGCAACTCTCAACAAGAAATGTGTTTCCCTGAGAACAATGGTCAGGGAGATTCAACAGGAGGTCAAGGCATGCTAGTCGAGTTCGGGAGCTTGACTTCCTCCAACAATGAAGAACAAGTTATTTCCATGGTTTTGAAGGAACTAAATTCTTCCTCAAATTATAACTTCTTTTTACTAATTTACTCAAATTATTACTTCTTGTTACTAATTTACTTTTTATATCACCAAAAATATGATTGGACTTTTTTGTTTTGTCCTGTTCTGTTATTGTTGTGAAAGTTCTGGTCCAGTTCTGCAATTTGGTAGCACCAAACACTACCTACCTAACTAAATCTTTTGTGCAGCAATGTTTTTATCCATTTGATATGTTTTTCTTCTTAATATACTTGTACTATGCTCCATCTATCATGTGCATCTTAGCAATGTGAATGATGAGTGTCATAGCCATGTGACTGCTGCTGTACTAATAAGGAACAGAAATAAAGAAAGGGAACATGTCGATTATGTAGAGCCAGTCAATTTCTAATGTTCTCTCAAGTGCACTCTGCACATGTGCACCTTTAGGCTTAATGGTGTGTTTTTCCTTCAACAGCTTGGTTCATCTTTGTTAAAGGATAGAGACATGTTTGCATAACCTGGACTCGTTCGTTATTGAAGGACTTTGTTGATAATTGTAGACTGGCAATTTTTAACATGGTTATGGATTTTTCTTTACGAGATCTGAGTTTTAGCTTTGATTTGACATTATAGGTTTGGAGGTTCTTAATTGTCTTCGCAGATGTTCTTGGACTTTGGCCTTTTACTTTGGATGAGTTTGTCCAGGCTTTTCATGACTATGTAAGTTCTTTTTGACACAAGCTATTTACTTTCTTTTCCTTTTATTTTTTAATGAATCTGAAAGGAAATCTATTACAAATTTGATGCCAATTTCTTTTGGAAGTTCTGTGTGCCCTTGTCTTTATGATAGTCATGCAAGCTTTCAACTCTCTGAACTATCAGGACCCGAGGTTGTTGGGTGAGGTACATATTGCTCTTTTGAGGTCTATCATTAAAGATATTGAAGATGTTACAAGGACACCTTCCACTGGACTTGGGGGAAATCAAAACGGTGCTGCTAATCCCGGAGGTGGACACCCTCAGATTGTTGAAGGGGTAAGCAGTTCTTTATTGGCGTTTACTCCTGCAAATTTGTTTCAGTTTCTAGCAAGATCTTAGTACAGTACCTAATTGTTAAATTTTTTTGTTAATATCAGGCATATGCATGGGGCTTTGATATATGTAGCTGGCAATGCCACTTAAATGCCTTGACTTGGCCTGAAATTTTGAGGCAGTTTTCTCTCTCAGCTGGATTTGGACCTCAGCTGAAGAAAAGAACCATTGAGCAGGTTTATATTCGTGATGACAATGAGGCAAGTTTCGTCTTCAGTCAATTCTTTCAGTGCTGGAAGTTGCAGTTTTCATTATCCTTTATTTTTCTATTTGGATTACTTTTGATGCATGCTGTATGTGTGTGTTTGTCTTGAAAGAGCTAAAATTTGTTCAGAACCCACATTTCAATTTTTTCTTTTCGTACTTATGTATATATATGCACACTAGCTTTTAAGCATGCTACAAGAACATTAATTTATATATATATTTTAAAAATATTCATTTTATTAAATTAAAATTTTGATATTTTCAACTATAATTTTAAAAATTTAAGCATTATACTAAATTAAATTTATTATTATTAAAATATGTAATCATTAGATTAAAATATTTAAATTATGATTTTTATATAAAAATATATAATACACATGAAGCTCTTCTAATAGAAGTATTGACACTAAAAGAAAAAGAAGTATAGACATTCTAATTCCATGAAATTTTAGTATAATACTTAATTTAAAAATTTTAGTTATTAATATTAATTATGAAAGAAAGCATTATATAGAACGCACTGTTAATATGATATATATAATCAAACTGAAGTATTACATAATCACAAGATAACAAATTGGATAATATTTTCTTCACATATATTATTTTCACCATACAGATATAAATGATTCCTCAAGGGGCATTCTTTCTTCATTTATATATATCTTGCCATGGGTGTTGGAAACATAATAACTTTTTTTTCTTAGGAATCTGATTCCTCTGTCTCTCCAGACATATGCTTTTAGCTGTTATTCTGCTAAATGCAAACTGTGGTTTTTAAAGTAAATGAAGCTCATAAAGCTTAGAAGATTCTGACCATTTGTTACATATATATATATTTTTGTTTAATTAATAATTGGTGCTCCACATATTAAAAAAAAAAAGCAAATAATAATTTGGTGCTCCACTTTTGGTTTTATTTTTAAAATGATCCTTGTCTTTTAAACCTAAAAAGTGAGGACCAAACTTTTAAATTTTGACCCGAAAAATCCTCCCATCCAAATAACTATTAGTTTTAATAAATTTTGCCACCTAAGCACCACTGCCACCTAAGTGCCATGTCATTAAAGAAAAGAACATGACACTCACACAGGCAATGCCTAGGTGTAAACTACCCATCCACCCACCGGACCAACCCGACTTACTGCCTATCCTACTGGAACATGGTCCTAATTTCACCATATGAAACTATTTTCCTTTAAGCCCAAAGTCACTGCCATTTTAACTGCTTTGAAGCCTTGACCTGATGCTATTAAGGAAGAGAAGAAGAAGCTTCTTTCAGTTGGGAAAGAAGGAAGAAATTCATCAACTTTGCAGCCCATTATATTAGTAGTAATCTGGTGTAGTTTTTTGGGAAAGTGGAGAATGGGTGATGAATGTGGTGACGATGGATGCAGTGATGATGATAAGGCAAAGGGAAATAAAACAATAGGACTTCTAACAAAATATCTTTCTTAATGGACCTGCAAAATTCAGGTTCGATTTTGCAGAAACACACACAGAAAACACATTTGTAGTAGAAACTGTTCCACATCCTTCCTCCATCAGTAGAATCTGTCTGCAGATTTATGCCATCCTTACAGGGATGGAAGTGATTCTTTTAGCTCCTCACTAGTTTCAAACTTGTCTTAAATGCTTATGCCTCTTCTGATGACAAAAGATCCTTTCAACATCTTTTTTGTTCATCTTTCTACAAGCATCTTATCTGCTTCTTTTATCATCTCCCCACCAACTGTTTGTAGGATACAAACACAGCGATTGAAAATCATTCTGTGCTCATGGAGCACTAGTGATTTAGAACATTCTTTGCATTTGATTGGTTCATTTCATTTTGTGTGAGAGAAAATTTTATGTGGGCTAACACAATTCTTATTTGGTCCAATTAAGATAAGACGGTCTTGTATTAAATGTAGAGGGTTTTGTGGTCCAGGAGCATGCACTAATTTCTCATGCCAAAACCCAAATCTTGCTTATATGGCGGTTAGATGGAAAGATCTTTTGAATCTAATAGCTTAGTTGGATGAAAGGATTAGGTCAAAATTGAAAAGTGATGTTCTTAATTTTTTGGTTTAAAAGTCGAAAAGCTATTTTAAAAATCAAGACAAAAATTTAAGACTAAATATGGAATAGAGCGTGTTTTTTTTCTTTTCCAGTTTTCTTCATCCACTACTAAAATCATCTATTTTCTGCAAGGCTGCTGTCACCCATCTGCTTCCTGAACGAAAGAGCAAAGATTGTGTTTTTGTTAGAAGAAAAAAACCGATAGTTATGATTGAATGTGGATTGGGGTTATATCTTCGGTCTTTTCTTAAAAAAAAGGGAAATTCAAGGCAAGTAACCTCATAAAATTGTTGATTTTTTATGTTTCATTTCATGTGAGTGTAGGGTAATGATGCTGCAGATGTAGTTTCTACTTTACGCAATGGAGTGGCTGCTGAGAAAGCTGTTGCTAAAATGCATGAGAGGGGTTTTTCCAATCCTCGCAGATCTAGGCATTGCTTGACTCCTGGAACTGTTAAGTTTGCAGCATTTCACATCCTTTCTCTTGAGGGAAACAAGGGCCTGACTATTTTGGAAGTTGCAGATAAAATTCAGGTAATGATAAATTGGTGAGAGTCAGGTTCGTTTTGTTGTCCACTTAACCATTTCGCTTTTGATCTTAGAATTCTGGACTGAGGGATCTTACTACAAGCAAGACACCGGAAGCTTCTATTGCTGCAGCATTGTCAAGGGACACCAAACTTTTTGAGAGAACAGCTCCTTCAACTTATTGTGTGCGTACTCCCTACAGAAAAGACCCAGCTGATGCTGAGGCAATACTCTCTGCAGCTAGAGAGAGAATCCGGATATTTAAAAATGAAGTTACAGAAGAAGAAGATGGTGATGTTGATGATGCTGAAAGAGATGAAGATTCTGACAGTGATGTAGCAGATGATCCAGAAGTTGATGATACAGGCACTGATTTAGATCCTAAGAAAGAGGCTTACCAAGAAGTAGAAAATGACAATGCAAAAACTCCCCTAGGACATGTAAGGGGGAGCATTGCGGTCATAGAAGCGCCACGTGAGGGTTTGTCTTATTTGCATTCTGAAAATTTGAATGAAGCAAAGCATACTGCTGCTTCTTCTGATTACTCTGCAGTAGCTGCTGGAGTTTGTAATGTTTCTCTCTTTCTTTATCCAGAAGATGCTGATATTGA